CATCTTTAATTTTATATACCTTGAAGTAAGTATTTAACTATAATAAAGTTGTTATGTCAGATTTGGAAAAAAGTGTTACAATTGTCCCCGGTCTCCCCTACCCTGCCCTCCCAAACCGTAGCCTACCCTACCCTCCCTTACCCGTACCTGTACACGCGTGTGTTGCTGCAGCGACACTGCCAGTACAGCTCATTGCGCGCGTCGTCTGCGCGACTCAGCGACGCGTACACGTAGCCGACGTCCGCGCATGCGTCGATGCAGAGGCTCGCGCGACGCGCCGACCGCAGGCCGAAGATCTGACGCGGGCCGTCGTTCACGACGAGCGACGCGTCGTCAGGGGCGACGGGGTAGCAACCCTCGTAGGCGTGCGGGGCGGCACCTGGTGGGCAGATGGTGATACGTTAGGAGAATGAATCAGGATGGATGGAGTAAAAGATTGAAGGAGTGAAGGATCGATTGAGTGAAGGATGATTAAGTGAATGATTGAAGGAGTGAAGAATTGATTGAGTGAAGGATTAAAGGAGTAAAGGATTGATTGCGTAAAGGATTGATTAAGTGAATGATTAAAAGAGTGAAGGATTGATTAAGTGAAGGATTGAAGGAGTGAAGGATTGATTAAGTGAAGGATTGAAGGAGTGAAGAATTGATTGAATGAATGATTGAAGGAGTGATGGATTGATGGAGTGAATGATTGAAGGGTTGAAAGAATAAAGGAATCACGGAGTGGGGGAATGATGGAGTGAAAGATTGACAAAGTGAAGGATTGAAAGAATGAAGGATTGACTGAGTGAAGGATTGGTGGAGTAAAGGATTGACAGAGTGGTACAGACGACGATTTGTTATCTTGAACAGCCGAGACGTTCGCCACTCGATGCATCTAAGCTCTAAAATTAGCGACAGACAACAAAAACAACGAGACGTTAATCTAGTTAGTTAATTAGTTAATGTTAATTAGGCGATGGGACGTCACCCGATACGACGTAGACTGCCGCTGACGTCGTCTCTGGTTGTCCGCACACCCAGGGCGGCTCGCCCGTGCACAGGCCGCAGCGGGGCGTAGGTTTAGGTAGACTGCCGAGGCTGGAGCGGCAGTCACAGATCATCTCACCTGCAGCAAGAACGTGAGCAGATACATCATCTAACTCCTTTTCGCACCTCTTCCTCTCTATCTCTGTCTCACACCCACACACACACACACGCTCCTCTATCTCTCTCTCTCTCTCTCTCTCTCTCTCTCTCTCTCTCTCTCTCTCTCTCTTTCGCAGGGGCGTGTACAGGGGGGGTCCAGGGGGTCCGGACCCC